GAACAGATAAATGTTTTAGGAACTTTATTTAAGGAAGGACCTTATTTATCTATTCCGTGGTCAGTGCCACCAAAAAAGCACAGTCCACGTTATAGTGGTGGTTGGGAATTGGTATTGGCTACATGGGTAGGTACCACCGCCCTGTCAGACTATTTCTGCCATGAGAATGATGGCTGTCTCATCATTGAACAATTGCTACGTAAACCTCACATTTCAAGGCGGCGTTAACAGCTTAACAGCCAGTGAGCCTCACTCCTATACCCGTCTACGCAATGATATATAAAAAAGCTCAAGTCAAGGCCACGACCACGATTTTAATGACTTAAAAACATATTGAATCATTGTGAATATCGATCAGACAAAGCCGTGAACTCAAACACTAATTTATTTCCAAGAAAATTATCATAATTTGACGCATATATTTTTTTTTTGTATATTCCTACGGAAGAATTCCGGTTTTTCTCTTTGTAATTAATTATTCAAAGATATAATGAACTCGAGAACAGGTCTCCTGTTATTGAAGCCTAAAGGCTTTTCCGAGGCCGCGAGTTTAATATGACCCACAAATTATATCATAATATGGGACGTAGATGTTACTATGCTAACATCATTTCACTGACTCGATGGACTACGAAAAATCAAACTCGCAAAATTATAATTACTAGTGGTAGGACACCTTGTGAGTCCGCACGGATAGGTAGGTACCACCGCCTTGCCTATATCTACCGTGAAGCAGTACTGCGTTTCGGTTTGGAGGGTGGGGCAGCCGTTGTAACTATACTGAGACCTTAGAACTTATATCTCAAGGTGGGTGGCGCATTTATGTTGCAGATGTCTATGGGCTCCAGTTACCACTTAACACCGGATGGGCTGTGAGCTCGTCCATCCATCTAGACAATAAAAAAAAAGATGTTGCTATGCTAACATAATAAATAGGTCTTTACCTAAGAAGTTGCCGTTTTGAGTGAGTCAATGGTGCAGTGATTAGCGTCCCTGACCGTTGCGCCAAGGGTCGTGGATTCGATTACCACATCGGGTAAACATTCGTGTGATGGACATGTTTGTTATCTTTTCGACTAGGTATATTGTATAAGTAGCTGTGTATGTCAATTTCTAGTACCCACAACAAAGGGAGACCTAATTGTTACCAAAAAACAAAGCATTTTCTCAGTCTGGTCTACTAAAATACTGGTAATTTGAAAAATTATTTATATATGGCTGCCAATAAATTCTAAATTGAAGTGAATTTTATTTTAGAAATATGGAATTATCTTTTCAAATTCAGTCATTTGTTTATTGATTAGTGTTTTTTTTTTTTACTCCACACACTCCGACTGTAGCTTCTCCACCAATATGGACACGAAAGAAATACGAGTAATTATGGAACAGGAGTTCCTTTACGGCAGTTTACCTTCGGAAATTTCGTGGACAAAAACTTAATATACAAAAAAACCTAGATTTTGAAGCATTTGTGCTCTATTTCCTACCTATCTTATTACTAGTAAGTATCCCCCAGGGGCTATTCTGAATTCGCCTTGGTTGGCGGCGAACGAGTTTTCGGGGCTCAGCTTGAGAGACTGCTTACTCTAGCCCTAGCAAGAGCAGTCCTTCACAGAATCTACCAACGGATCGGAATCGCGACCCACTGAGAAGAACCGGCCAGAAACTCAGCTGGCTTTGTTCTCTAAATAGACTATTGACCTTATATAGACATGTGAGGGTGCCATGGTGTGATCCTGTGAATATCCAAAACAGCTGACCTTTTTTTATTGCTTAGGCCTTAGATGGTTGATCGAGCTCATCGCCCACCTGTTGTTAAGTGGTCACCGGGGCCGGGGATGACAGGCGGTAAATATTAGTCTGTAACACCACCTTGCTTATTATTGCAACAAACATTATTACAACGGAATACAAGTACAATAACTCATCTATATCAATAACAAAACAATTAATAAATTAAAGAAAAACCATTTAAATTAATGTATGGATCCGTCGGAACAATAGATGTATACTTCCTACATTCGGTATCCGGCTATTTCAAACCCAACATGCACCATAATAATGTGTAACGAGTGATCTGGATCAATTAATATCAACTAATAAAACATTATTTTATTGCAAGACCATTTGCGGTGAACAGATGAATACGTGGAGTAGTATGTGAATTTTTTATTTTATTGCGTCGACTGAAGAACGCGTTTATGCTTCATCTGGTGTTAAGCGGTGGTGATATGGTAGTCTCAATTGTATTGTATAATGACTCAAATTGGAACTCATGACTGGTTCGCATCAGAAACATGTGGACTGTCAGAGTGGGTATTAATCTATACTAAAATATAAATCTACAGTGGTTTTTAAGGATGTTCCATTATAACTACTGAACCATGCATCCGATTCACTTGAAACTTGGTATCCATGTAGAAAATACATGTACTTAATGGATAGGCTTATATTTATATGAGTGTTGGACTCCTTAATAATAATAACAATAAATAATAATGTTAATTTTAAATGCGCAGCGAAGCGGGCGAATACGGCTTGTAACTTAAAAAAATTAATATGTTCTCTAAGACTCGAACCACTGTTAATCGCAGCTGGACACTGAAAGTTCACAGAACAGTTGACTCGCTAACTTCCAAATGATATTTTTATATTTTAACCCACCCTATAATTGGTTTGATAAATTAGTTTCAAAATCCACTCCACGGTTTCCCCTGTCTCACCGAATGGAGTGACACCGGCAGTAGTTATTGTCATAGTCGACCACCGCGCGCTACGATTCCAAGTATTTATTGCTTATTACACTTGTATGAGTTTTTCTTTCTTCGCCAACTACGGAATAAAATATAGAGCGAATGACATCATTATTTGGAAGTAGTCACTATTATTATTCTTACTTCGTGGTATATATAGAAGGAAGGTATCACTATGCATCTGATACTGAATTGTAAACATAATCTACAGTCAATCACAAAGCGAATACTCCATTGTTGGTCTCCTCAAACCATTTCCTATGGTAGTCCGGCCGCTGAAAGAACTTTTTCATGCCAGACCCGACGAATTCATTTAGTTTTACGATAATCATTTTTAATTGTGTAATTTAATTCGTGTAATAAAAATCGAACCCGCAAAATTATAATTTGCGTAATTACTGGTGGTAGGACGTCTTGTGAGTTCGCACGAATAAGTACCACCGCCCTGTCCATTTCTGCCGTGAAGCAGTAATGCGTTTCGGATTGAAGGGTGGAGCAGCCGTTACTGAGACCTTAGAACTTATATCTCAAGGTGGGTGGCGCATTTACGTTGTAGATGTCTATGGGCTCCAGTAACCACTTAACATCAGGTGGGCTCTGAGCTCGTCCACTCATCTGAGGAATAAAACATAAAAAAAATAAAAAAATTGATTGGCCCTGTTAAATATATAAAAGAAATGTTGCAATTTTGAACTTCTCAAATTAAGTTGATCGCATTTTCTTGGCGGCCGGATAATAAATAATAGTTCCTTATCTTTCATTCACAGTAATATTGTATCTTCGGCTAATTTCTTATCTATCACTATGCTTCTTTACTTCAAGTTCAAATTTGATGTGTCGGAGGTATTTTCCAATATCGGATGGATGTGTTCCAACATCGTGCATATTTCATTTTTGAACCGTTCTTTCGCTATAACCTAAAAGGCGGCAATTATTCCAAAGCAACTCAACATTCAACCTAACGTCTCCGTGTAGGCAGCGGTATTTAAACTGTAGTGGGCTGTGACGTCATAGACCCATCGTAGCCGTTGTACTGTTAAAAGTAAGATCTTAGAACTTACGTTTCAAGGTGGGTGGCGGCACTTACGTTGTAGATGTCTATGGGCTCCGGTGGGCCGTGAGCTAATCCACCCATCTAAGCAATAAAAAGAACGACTCAGATTTCAAATTGATAAAAAAGGAAAGTGCACTCATTTAAAATATGTGTAGTTCAAAGTTGTTCTGTTCAGGTATTTAAGGTATATTTGATCGATACAGTCATGATCATCATCATATCAGCCTGTCCACTGTCCACTGCTGAACATAGGCCTCTCCAATCGACGTCCAGTGCGGCCGGTCCGTTGTCACCTGCAACCAACGCGACACGTATGGTAGGTGACCGTCCCACACTGCGCTTGCAGTACGTGGTTTTTTTTTTATTGCCCTTGTAGGCAGACGAGCATACGGTCCACCTGAATGGTGAGTGGTTACCGTCGCCCATTGGCTTCAGCAATGCCAGGGGCAGAACCAAGCCGCTCCCTACCGCTTAATACTCTCCACAAGCCTCGTTTGAAGAAGGACATGTCATAGCGCTCGGGAAACACCGTGGAAACACCGTGGTCTCCACTCGAGGATCTTTCTGCTCCATCGGCCGTCCGATCTTCGCGCTATATGGCCTGCCCACTGCCACTTCAGCTTGCTAATCCTACGGGCTATGTCAGCAGCTTTGGCCCTTCTACGGATCTCCCATTACTGATTAGGTCTCGTAGAGAAGTAGCAAGCATAGCTATCTCCATAGCTCGCTGTGCAACACTAAGCTTCCTAAAAAGATATTTTTTGAAACATCAAGATCGATACAGCAGGACTCATCCGCGAAGCAGCTGCTCTCGAGTAGTTGGGTCTCCCTCGGAGGCCCTCGGGCTGCTGTTAGCTAATCCCACCCCTCTTGGCTGAGCCTTTGCTTGCCCACCTGTCCTGATGAAATTGGAAAGACCTCCGGGCCACCAGTAAATCTTCAATCATAAAAAAGAGGTACAGTCGAAAGTATGAATAATAAGTTTATCAATGCACTTTTTTGTTGTACTAGGTGCAGATACAAAAAAATCGCAAGACGTAGGGTGATTTAGTTGATTTACTTACTACTCTAGTCTAAAGCGAGACAGTGTAATCACATCCCTTCAATAAAGTCTAGCGATCTAGTTATGGTTAGTATTTATTTTAGAAGGGCGGACGGGGCTTTCAGTAGCTTTCAAGGTTGGCAAGAAACGAAGCACAATTAGTAGCCGACGCGAAACAAAGCCAGGCGCACGCGCCTACATCGTTACCGCTACAACCTTTTTGGTAACATAGAGGTCGTATAGGTACATGAAAAAAAAAAAATTAAGAAAATTAATTTTTAAATTACAAAGCCAAAGTTCTTTTTTTAAACTTATTAAAAAAAAACGCGCGCTTTTCGTAGTGTTGCTATTATTTAAATTTTCTTATCGACGTCCTAGAAGCACATTGTGGTAAGTTTTTTTTCTTGTTACTACATATATTCTATACCAAACGATTCTAAATAAAAAATAAATTTATTCGAAATTAAAAAGAGAAATTATTCCGAAACATCCGTCATCAAATTATTTGGCCATCATCTCTTGCGAAGTGTATAATAAACATCAGCTGGGGAACATAATATTTTTTATGAGTCTACACATTGATTATAGGCAACAGTGAACGAACGTGAAAATTAAACCGAATATACATGTTTGAGGTCATTTCGTATTTCCTTGTTTCATCTTCCAAAACTGGATCAATGGAGCCGCAGTTATGCAACTTGAGCCTCAATTTACTGTCTCATGCTGCGCCCGAGCTTTCACGTGAGCTCGTGTCTGTCTCACGAGAGTAATAAATCTATATATTAATACGTGAAGCAAAAACTTTGTACCACTTTTTACGAAAATTACGCGAACGGAGTATGAAATTTCCCACACTTCTATAGAATATACAGAAGTAGTGCAGTATGCTAATATTTTTATATTATGCAAATAAAATAAAAAATTATGCATATCATTAAAAAAAACATTACACACAGTACCATATATTTGACACAACACGTTTAAACTCTTTGTTTATTGTCAAGTTTTTGTTATTCTTTAAAGTCTGTGGTCAAATTGAGAATAAATTAATGTGTATTGTTCGTCTTTAATATTATTTATCTATCACGTAGTCTTGACGAAATCTGTGAATAAAGATATATACAGATAAATAGTCTTTGACAATAGAACTATAATCATGTTCAAACTTGTAATTATTACAATTAATTATAGTGGAATTTCGAATACTGAGGGACTACTGGTAAAAATGACTATGTGTCGCTTTCCGTAATGTATTGAGGTTAACTTTTAGTGTTAAGCATTCTATTCAAACTTTATTAAAGAAAAGTCTTAAAAAAACTCCATGAAAGAAATTCTTCACTAAGCTGAACAGAAAAAAGATCTCTGAAAAAAGATAGGATTGTAAAGATAATTGTTCGCTATACACGTGTGTATTGCAAAAAAAAAACTATACCCGATCGTTTTAATAAACAACAATTAAATGTGGTTTCAAAAATTAATTAAAAATACTCCAAATGAGTGTCGATAAATTAGTTAGTTCTGTTTAAACGGCGCCGAGGATGGTAAGATGGCGTCCTTTTTTTGCCGTAGCCGTTATAATAAGAATAAAAAAAAAATAAAAAAAATAAAAAAAATAAAAAAAAAATAAGGAAGCCTTTTGATTCCGTGCATTAACAAAAACAATTTAACAATATTGAGTTTAAAATCTAGATGCTTGATTATTATTATCTTCCTTTTGAAATATTATTAATATTACAGAAAATATTACAGAAATATTAAATTATTACACAATATTACAGAAAATAGATTAAAAGAAAAAATAATCAATTCGGTTATATGTATCTAATAGAAAAATTGGTAAAATCAAGTATAACATATTATAGGTAAATTATTATTATTTTTAGGGTATTCATGTTATTAATTTAATAATAGCTTTTTTAATAGCAATGGGTTAATACTCGCAGTTACTAAGAGACAGGATTAGGTTCAAATAAGCCTTAGTTCTTGGATGAACGGTCCCTACAGCCTACAGAGGAGCATAGCGGCAGATTTTATTTATTTATTGCTTAGATGGGTGGACGATCTCACAGACCACCTGGTGTTAAGAGGTTACTGGAGCTCATAGACATCTACAACGTAAACGCGCCACCCACCTTGAGATATCAGTCTCAAGTATAGTTACAACGGCTGCCCCACCCTTCAAACCGAAACGCATTACTGCTTCACGGCAGAAATAGGCAGGGCGGAGGTACCTACCCGTGCGGACTCACAAGAGGTCCTACCACCAGTAATTTCGCAAATTATAATTTTACGGGTTTGAGTTAGGAAATCAAAACTACTAAGTCCTAAATCACTAAGCCGCCAATCATGACCCTCCCTACGGTCCAGTAACAAGCGAGGTCGTTGTGAAAGGACAAAGGCGACCTTAGTTACAAATCAATGTCACGCACATTGATAGAATCGATTTAAAAAAATCACACCTTCGATGACTTAGGTAATTACGCACACACAGAATATGTAATTACGAAGGTTCTCTAGTCCGGCCTTCGGATTATTATGAATAGTCAGACTTCTTAAACTAAAACTTAAATTTTTCAGCCTGGTACATATGAGATCGTCAGCGCAAAAGTGGCCTCGGCTTATCATAGTTAGTACGATGGTAATGAGGTTTGGTAGGTACCACCACCCCGCCTATTTCAGCCGTGAAGCAGTAATGCGTTTCGGTTTGAAGGGTGGGGTAGCCGTTGTAACTATACTGAGACCTTAGAACGTATATCTCAAGGTGGGTGGCGCATTTACATTGTAGATGTCTATGGGCTCCAGTAATCACTTAACACCGGGTGGGCTGTGAGCGTCCAACCATCTAAGCAATAAAAAATAAAAAACTTTTACACTGCTTCGTAAGCAATAATAATACGCGCAAAAATAATGTTTACAATCTCTTATTAATTATAGGTGAAACTGGGGATAGGTCGGTTTTCCATCAACATATTATATATGAGTCGACTATTATCAAAGCCGGCAATGTGACTTTTGGACAATTATTGGTAAATCAGAAAAACGAATTATTGACTTTGTATTCCATTGGCAGTCACGAAACTCTTCTGAACGACATCTTAGATAAATAACAGGTTAAGTATTAACCTTTATTTAATGCAGGTTTTGAACCGTATTCTTTGAAGGAGACGATTATATTCNTTTGTATTCCATTGGCAGTCACGAAACTCTTCTGAACGACATCTTAGATAAATAACAGGTTAAGTATTAACCTTTATTTAATGCAGGTTTTGAACCGTATTCTTTGAAGGAGACGATTATATTCAAATCAATCTGTATTGACATATCAATAACATTTTTTTGTTCAAATGCACAGATTGCCACCTTTGATAATAGACGACTCATATTATGTTTTAAATAATTTGCAATATATAAGCACGAATATAAAAAAATATTGTGGGTTAGGCCAGCCAAGGCCAGAAAAATACCTATAACTGTATAAGAAGCTATACGAGAGAAGAGTGCGAGTATAGGGATGACGTATGTCATGGCCTGATTAGAAAAATGGATCATGCTACGCCAACTCCACATAGCTAAAAAAAGGCAAAAGGCCCGAAATTTTTAAATTTAAATTTTTGTTTAATCATATATTCTACATATAAATCAAATAATCAATTCGCTTCGTATTCATTTATGCATGCATTCGTCAATGTTTGCATTTTGATAATTTTGTTTATTTTTATTTGGTCGTTTGTTTGGGTCAATAGCATTAGCGTTGTGCGGAGATGAATGGCTTTATGCAAAACAGATACAAATCTAATCTAAAATACAGTTTTTCAAAGCGTTCTATTAATATTTTATTATATAATTTATTTTCTAGGACGATATATCGCAAAAACCACATCTTAGATTGGATACCTTCAAAGCAATTTATTTTTGAAATTAGCGACCCGCCCTCGCTTCGCTTCGGAAACATTAAAACACACATGAAACCAAAAAATAAATAAAAAAAGTAGCCTATGTTCATCAGGGACAATGTCGGCTTCTAATGGAAAAAGAATTTTTCAAATCGGTCCAGTAGTTTCGAAGCTTATTCGAAAGAAACAAACAAACAAACAAATCTTTCCTCTTTATAATATTAGTATAGATGATGCAGTTAAATGTGCCCCCTATTCTATACAGATCGCGGAATTTAGGCTTAATCTACTTTCCTGTATGAGGTTTTACGTGAATACCTATCAGAATTCTTTTTTTTTTATTGCTTAGATTTGTGGACGAGCTCACAGCCCACCTGGTGTTAAGTAGTTACTGGAGCCCATAGACATCTACAACGTAAAATGCGCCACACACCTTGAGGTATAGTTCTAAGGTCTCAGTATAGTCACAACGGCTGCCCCACCCTTCAGACCGAAACGCATTACTGCTTCACGGCAGAAATGGGCAGGGCGGTGGTACCTACCCGTGCGGACTCACAAGAGGTCCTACCACCAGTAATTACGCATATTATAATTTTGCGGGTTCACGCAAAACATAATCAATCGTAATCAATTTCTAAATGTTATTTTATCAAGCGAGCCCCTTTTAAAACATGACTTTTCCAATACTTCGTATTTTTTCCTTGCAGACGTCATGATTAATAAACGAAATGAATGCGATTATACGTGTAAACTTGGTATGTAATGTCATCGAGGTAGCTTGTCGTGAATCCAACAGAACTAGACTTTCTCAATTAGCAAACGGCATTCATATAACAGAAGTAGCTACCGCGGCCCAAAGCCGCCAGCTAGCTTGAGACATGAGCTTTAAATGTAATCAACGGCTTTCGGGCACTTCAAACCGAAACGCATTCCTTTTTTTTTATAGGTGGGTGGACGAGCTCACAGCCCACCTGGTGTTAAGTGGTTACTGGAGCCCATAGACATCCACAACGTGAAATGCACCACCCACCTTGAGATATAAGTTCTAAGGTCTCATTATAGTTTAAAAAACATTAAAAAAAATTAAGATAATCAAACCTTGAACTTCAACCGAAAGTGAAAGGGTTAAGGATAGCATGATGCAATCGTGAACAATTTTGTAACATTTGATAAAATTCAACACTTTTTTTGCCAATGAAGAGTTGTTTTACCGGCAGCAATTTGCATTGCATATTAGTGATCCGAAAAGTGAAGCTGGTTTTAAATGACACTGGTATCCGACTTAATTAGAGGCTGAATTTTTTTAATGCCTACTATGAAATGACTCCATAGAGCGCCTTGTCGTTCAGGGCAAAGTGGAAGGCACCAGACCGCGTGGAAGGGTGCCCATGCGATGGACCGACCAGATCAAGTCGACAGTTGGCGGCTGTTTGATTGAGTTTTTTATTTATTTTTATTGCCCTTGTAGACAGACGAGCATACGGCCCACCTGATGGT